ATATAAATAAGTCAATAAACTAATAAGTTACTTATTTGGTGTGTTCCCAAATCTTTACAAGGGTAAAGTTTTGTTTATCTTGAAAGACATAAAACATCAAATGTTTAAAGAGAAAAAAAAAAAAAAGTACTAATTATTTCGTAAGAACATTTTTATTTACTACAAATTCTTTTAACTCATGACCCAACCCAAGTCTTGAGGGAAATCTTGAAGCTAATGGTGAAATGATGGTGCTTCTAATTTAAGTAAGAGTTAGTAAGTTTGTGTGTTAGGGCACTGAAATGGCAAAAGATGCATTCCTTGATTCATAGACAAATACATTTTACCTTTTTTGTTAAAAAAAAAGGAAAGAAAAGCAACTTACCAACAAGGAATCCACTTGCAAACAGCCATGGCCTATCGTATTTGATTTATATCAAATAAATGTTCCAGTCTTCATGTTCATAATGATTGTCCAACATTAACACATCATCTGGTCCCATTGTTCTCTCTCTCTCTATACTAAAGAAAATATTTAATACAGAGAAGTAACATAACGTTATTTTCGAGACGTAATATCACCATCTAATAATAAATCATCATATACACATAGTAAACTTCGTTATGCAAATGTGATAATTACTTACATCTGAATAGTAAAATTTATCATCTTATATATTATTTAATTATTAATTGATAATACTATTATCAGTAATGACATAATAGCACCGTTATACTAATCTGTAAATGGCTTCTAGACCAACATAAGGTATTGGATCTGTGAGGTTTCATAAATAAGCATGAAATAATTTGGGTGAAGAACAAGTGAAGGTCAAGCTTGAGAATTAAGTTTCAAAATGGTTGGCTAGATGATGATTGGGTTGAATGAGGTATGGTGTCTAGCTTCTAAAACCAAAACTACAGCGTGTGAAGTGGTTCAAGGAGTTAAAATGGTTGGCTAGATAAAGAAGTTTTGAAGATAAGTTAGATCAAACATCATATCCATGTTTGTACTAGCAAGTCCCCCCAAGCATATTTGCCTAATGAATATTTGTCAAACAATTGAATAGAAGTATCATTGTTTCATTAAGAAGTCACAAGTTCAACTCTTTTTTTTTTTTCTTTCTAATGTACTGAAAAAATTAACAGCTAGTAGAGAAACGTTTGATCCATTATGATAGTTAAATTATGTAATGTCTTGATTGTATCAAAAAAATAATAATAATTGAATAGAAGACTTAGTGAATATTTTGATAAGACTATGTAGCCATTACAACTGCCTCAGCATCAACAACTACAGCCATTGCAGCCATAGCCATTGCATTAGCAGTCGTTACATAAGTCTTAGCAATTGCAGTAGTTGAAGCTACAACAGCAGTCATTGAAGCCACAGTTTAATGTATCACATATAGCTGCAAAGAGATATAAATATCAGAGTTGTAGTAGTCGTGGTTAGGATTAGTGGTTAAGATTCAGTTAGAGTTTGTTGTAACAAACTCCTAAGTAACTCTCTTGTATTAAATATAAATAGGCATATGCCTGAGTGTAATTGATTCATTGTGAATGAAATATCTTTTCTTGTTTCTTGTTTCTTGTTATGGTATCAGAGCCACAATAGCTCTCACGAGCAAGGTTCATTCATGGTGGTTTCACCATCTTCTCTACCACCAAGTCTAACTCTATTGATTTCGAATTTTCATTCTCTAGTAACAGTAAAACTTGATCCCTCTAATTTTCTTATCTGGAAACATCAGCTTCAGAATGTGCTTAGAGCCACATATTTGTTTGATTTTGTAACTCATGTCCAGTTCTGAAGATCCTTGATGCATCTAGAACAGTAATCGAAAATCTAGAGTTTACAAGATGGAAGACCATCGATGCACACCTGTTGAGTTGCATTACTGCAACTCTCTCCTCATATGTGTTCTCCATTGTTCTTCAATATCAACACTGTGCTCCAGTCTGGAGTGCTCTAGAGAAGAGATTTACCTTACTCTCTCGATCTCACATTCATAAATTGAAGAATAAACTTCAATTAGTCTGCAAGAAAGGCCTCTCAATGGAGGAATATTTGACTCAGATCCACAATATTCCAGATCAACTTAGTCTTGCATCAGCTACAGTTGAAGATGAAGATCTTGTTTTGTTAACACTCAATGGATTACCAGATGAATATGAGGCTTTGAAAACTACTATTCGAGCTAGAGCAGAGGCTATTACTATGGAAGACTTGAGTTCATTGCTTTGTTCTAAAGCAATACATGTGGAAAATAAAACTAAACATGCTCTTATCAGTGATCTACCAATGGCATGTGTTTCCACTATTGGCTCTGCGTCTGGATCTGCTTCATATCCTCGATCTAATAGAGGATATTCATCTGGAAATAGAGGTAGATATCAATTGCGTGGTAATAGAGAAGGAAGATACAGAGGCAATGGAAGGTATCGCCGAGGTAGATATGGAGGACAGCCAGGGAGATATGATAGCAGACATGATAGCCGTTCAAGCAATGCTTCTTATTCTGGTTGTCAAATCTATGGAGGTCATAATCATAGTGCCTTTGATTATTGGTTTCGTATGGATTCCACCTATCAGCCTGCTCAGGCTTCTTCTCCATCTAATCATCAGTCTTTTTCATCTCATGCTTACTCTGTCACTGTAAATCCGTTTTCTTCTAATCAGTTGTTTGCTCCATCTGATTCATCTACTTCTTGGTACATAGACTCTACTGCAACTAACCATATCACAAATGATTTGGCTAATCTCTAACTCTACCAACCTTACCAAGGCTCAAACCAAGTTACTGCTGGTAATGGTCAAGCTGTTCCCATTCAACACATTGGTAAGGGATTGTTGCCTACTCCTCAGTATTCTTTTTGTCTCAATAATCTTCTTCATGTGCCTGATATTTCTTCTAATCTCTTGTTTGTTCATCAACTCACCAAGGATAATAATTGTCCTATTACATTTGATTCTAACTCCTTTGTGGTTCAGGACAAGCATACGAACAAGGTTCTGCATAAAGGACCTAATATTCATGGACTCTATCATTTTGCTGATTCATCTTCTTCCATGATTCCTCAATGTTGCTCAGGCAAAATCACAAGTCTCTGTGTCTACTTGGCATCAAAGACTTGGTCATCCTTCCGCATTAAAATTTCATCATCTTCTTCAATACTTACCTGCTCTTTTATCAAATAAAGATTGTAATTCATTAGCTTGCACTTCTTGTAGTGTTGCTAAGATACATAGGCTACCTTTCAAATTGTCTACTTCTATTGTTAATAAGTCATTTTCTCTTGTGCATAGTGATGTTTGGGGGCCATTTCATGCTTTTCTCACTGGTTATAAATACTATCTTTTGTTTGTTGATGATTTCACAAGATTTACTTGGATCTATCCTCTTTATGTTAAGAGTGAAGCCTTTTCCACATTTCTTTTGTTCAAAGCTTATGTGGAAAAACAATTTGATACATTCTTGAAAATTCTCAGAACTGATAATGGAACTGAGTTTGTTAACCATCAAATGGATAGTTATCTTGCTCAAAATGGTATTCTACATCATCTCACTTGTCCTTACACTCCAGAACAAAATGGCATTGCTAAAAGAAAACATCAACACATTGTTTAGATAGCTATTGCATTAATGTATCAATCTTGCATGCCCCTTACCTACTGGTTTGAAGCTCTAGCTACAGCTGTGTTTCTTATAAATAGGATGCCTAGTTTGTCTCTTCATCATAAATCTCCTTTTCAGTTACTCTTTCATGCTCTTCCAGATTATGAGTTTTTCAAGGTATTTGGTTGCCAATGTTTTCCATGGCTTTGACCTTATATTGATCATAAACTTCAACCAAGATATTCACCTTGTGTTTTCTTAGGTTACCACCCTTCCAGTAAAGGATACAGGTGTTTGGATCCCTCTATAGGCAAAATTTATTTGTCTAGACATGTCTTGTTTAATGAGTCTTGCTTCCCATTTGCTACTCAAACACTTACTTCTCCTACTCTACCTATTCTTACATCCTTTTTTTGATCTCCTTCTCAGTTTGCCACCTCTGAATCACCTCTTTCTCCTATCCCTTCCTCATCTTTTTTTGCTCATCTGGCTTGTTATGTTCCATCTGCCAGTTATGTTCCTGTAGTCTTTGCCTTACCTGCAATTCCTGTTGTTCCTGAAGCACCTGTTGTTCCTGTTTCTTCTTCTATTCCTATTGAGTTTATTTCTATTCACCTCTCATTTCTTCCTTCTCACTATTCTTCTTGTGATACTCATCCTATGACTAGTAGGTCTAAAGCTTCTTCTCTTTCTCAACATATTGCAGCTCCTTCTTGTCATCTTACTCACACTCCTCCAGTGGATCTTACTAGTACTGAGCCTCAGACTGCTACTCAAGCTTTAACTTCTCCTCTCTGGCTTAATGCTATGAATGAAAAGTTTCAAGCTCTCTATAAACAAGGTACTTGGACCCTTGTTCCTCCTCCTCCTACCAAATCTGCTATAGGTTGCAAGTGGGTGTTTCGTATTAAAAAGAATTATGATGGTACCATTGTTCGTTATAAGGCTCGCTTAGTTGCTAAGGGATACTTGCAACAAGAGGGAGTGGATTATGATGAAACTTTTAGTCCTGTTGCTAAACAACCCACTATTCATATTCTTTTGTGTCTTGCACTTCAAAATCAGTGGCCTCTCAAGCAGTTGGACATCTCCAATGCTTTCTTACATGGCAAGTTGGATGAAGAGATCTATATGTTGCAACCTTAGGGTTTTGTTGATTCCACCTTTCCTCATCATGTGTGCAAATTGCACAACGCTTTGTATGGTCTCAAGCAAGCTCCTCGAGCTTGGTACTCAACCTTCTCATCTTTCTTACTTACTCAAGGCTTCTGTCATAGTCATTCTGATCCTTCTTTCTTTGTCAAAAAGACATTTACTAGTATCACTATTCTGCTTATCTATGTTGATGACATTCTGCTTACGAGAAGTGATTCTAGTTTGATTCAAGCTTTACTTGCTTAGATGCATGTGGCATTTTCCACGAAGGAACTAGAAGATGTCTCCTATTTTTTAGGTATCTCTGTTCAAGCTCATTCCACTGGTTGTTTTTTATCTCAGCACAAGTATGCTCAAGAGCTGCTCCATAAAGCTGGTATGGTTCATTGTAAGCCCTGCTCCATACTTATTGCTCAAAAGTCTTCTGATGTTCCTTCCTCCACTGATGTACTTCCTTATGCTCAGCCTTCCTTTTATAGAAGCATAGTTGGTGCTTTACAATACTTAACCATTACTCGACCTGACATTGCCTTTGCTGTCAATCAAGCTTGTCAACATATGCAAGCCTCAACTAATGCTCACTTTGCCCTAGTTAAATGCCTACTTAGATATATTCAAGGCACTGTTTCTCATGGTCTTACTTTTAGAAAAGGGTCTTATGATCTTTATGCCTTTACTGATTCCAATTGGGCAGGGGATTGCACTGACAGAAGATCTACTTCTGGTTTTTGTATATATCTTGGGTCCAACCTCATCTCTTGGTCCTCTAAAAAGCAACCCACAGTCTCCAGATCTTCCACAGAAGCTGAATATAGGTCTATGGCTCACACTACAGCAGAAATTTGTTGGATTCAATAATTGCTCAAAGATTTATATATTTCTTCTTCTACTGTGCCTGTGTTATGGTGTGATAATGTTTCTGCTATGGTCTTAGCCTCCAATCCAGTGTTCCATTCTAAGTCTAAACACATAGAGGTGGACTGTCATTTCATCCGAGAAAGAGTGGTCTCTAAACAAATCTTTTTGGCTTATATTGCTACTGATGATCAGATTGCTGATATCTTTACTAAGCCACTTTCTTCTTTTCGTTTCCTTTATCTCAAATCCAAGCTTCTAGTGCTTCCTAGCCCCATCATCTTGAGGGGGACTGATAAGACTATGCAGCCATTACAACTGCCTCAGCATCAGCAGCTGCAGCCATTGCAGCCACAACCATTGCATCAGCAGCCATTACATAAGTCTCATCAGTTGCAGCAGTTGAAGCTACAACAGTAGTCATTGAAGCCATAGCTTTGTGTATCACATATAGTTGCAAAGAGATATAAATATCAGAGTTGTAGTAGTGGTGGCTAGGATTCGTGGTTAAGATTCAGTTAGAGTTTTTTGTAACTAACTCTCTTGTATTAAATATAAATAGGCATATGCCTGAGTGTAATTGATTCATTGTGAATGAAATATCTTTTCTTGTTTCTTGTTATATTTAAAAAGGGATCTTGCATTTGCTCCATGTAGTAATATTATGTACTCAATTTTTTTTTTAAGTACAAATATTTTAAAACAACTGAATCAAATTCATTACATGTAGTTTAACTTATAATTTCATAATAAACAGGACCCGTTTTATAAATTTCAAAATAATATGAAAAAAATCAAAAAAAAAACAATGAACAATCATTTTTTCATAGATACCTTATGTAATATTGAAAAAAATAAAAAATAAAAAAAAAATACACACACACAAAGAGAATGGGAATATTCTCTTCATCTTCAAAGTGTATAAACCAAAATAATCAGATAGTTGTCTTGGTCGGAAAGGATATTAGTTATATATCTATGCTCGTGGGACATTTTAATAATTTGAGTTTGTTTGCACTAAATTTTATTTTATAAAAAGAAGTCCTTTATTTACTCGAGATTGCAATCCAATTGAGAAAAAAAAATATAAATATAGTGCCAACTCTTCTAATTGTGCTCCTAACCTTACTAAAGATTGAATTTACCAGAACTACAGACATAAAGGCCTGATCCCAACAAAGTATGTAATTTTGCAATAGATTCCAGTTGCACAAACTTAGCTTATTGCTGACAAAAAACTTCAGTGTTTCATTCTTATCTAAAGACAGACTGAAGAGTCTAGGGAAACGCTCTAGTAATCTTATCTCCCCACACCAAATGTCACTTCAAAATGAAATTCTATTGCCATCTCCAATTATTATTTTGATATTCTCCATGAAGTACCTTAATAGACCATTGCTAGAAGGTAGTACACCAATGATATCACTCCAAACAGTTAACATGGATGCATTTATAACCACGTGAGGGAACCATTTCCCCTCTTCAGTCTTATATTTGCTGCAGATAAGATTTTTCCACAAAGCATTCTTTTCAAATCCAAACCTCCACCACTATTTTAGTAGTAAGCAAGAATTAACAGTTTTGATGTCACGGATTCCCAGTCCACATTTAGCTTTATTAATTGCTAACTTTTTCCACTTGACAAGGTGAACTTTTTTTTCTCACTTCTGTGTCTCCCCACAAAAAAGCAACTTCAACCTTCTTTATTTCTTTAGCAACCCCCACAAGTATTCTAAAAATGGACATATAATAAAGAGGAAGATTGGACGTCACAACTTTAATCATTGTTATCCTCCCAGCAAAAGATAGTACTTTTCTTTTCCAACCAGCAAGCTTCACCTTATACTTATCCAAAATTGGTTTCCAAAATGCTTTGCTTCTTGGGTTGGCACCAAATGGCAATCCTAGGTACTTCAATGGTAAATTTTGATGCGAACAATTTAGCATTGCGGCAAATTCTTCAACCAGCCCAGCTGAAACCCCAATACCACAAACTACACTCTTATGAAAATTTATCTTCAAGCTAGACATCACCTCAAAACACCTAAGGATTCTCTTTATATTTACAATCTCCTCCCATTCAGCTTCACAAAAAATAATAGTGTCATCAGCAAACTGAAGGTGGGATATGTTAAAATCATTTACACCAATTTTTGTTCCTTTCACTAGGCCTAAGTTTTTAGCTCTTGTTAACAGAATGTTTAACCCTTCTGCAGCAATATTAAATAGAAAATGTGAGAGGGGATCACCTTGCCTTAGACCTTTTTGTGGAGAGAATTCTTCTGTTGGAGACCCATTTACTAGAACTGAGATTCTAGCTGTAGAGATACATGTCTTCATCCATTCCACCCATTTTGCCCCAAAACCAAATTTATGTAGCATATCAAATAAGAAATTCCAATTCACGGTGTCATACGTTTTTTCAAAATCCAATTTCAAAACTAAACCTTTTTTGTTGTTCTTCTTCTACCAATCCACTACCTCATTAGCAATCAGAATACCATCCATTACATTTCTACCCCTCAGAAAAACTGTTTGGACTTCACTGATGATATCCGGAAGTACATTCTTCAATCTATTAGTTAGGATCTTTGAAAGAATTTTATAAATAGAGCCAATGAGACTAATTGGTCTGTACTCATTTAAACTTGTTGGCTTGTCTTGCTTAGGGATCAATGCTACAAAGGAACAATTCAAGGCACTTACTAGTTTGCCATTCTCATGGAACTTCTTCAAAAAACATAACAAGTGAAACTTCATTACCTGCCAACCCTTTTGAATACAGGTCAAATTGAGGCCATTCGGGCCTGGGGCCTTGTTCCCATCACATTATTTTACCACTTTCCACACTTCTGCTTCTGTAAACTATTTTTCTAATACTTCTGAAATGTAACATTGTGGGTTGACATTAAAGGATCCAACTATTTTGGGTTTGTCCCTCCAATATTCTTTGGAAACTTCCTTGAAATGATTGTACACCACTTGTCTTATCTCTTTTGGATCATCCACTGCTGTCCCATTCACATTCATAGTGTCCAACATTATACAATTTTGTCTCTTATTGGCTACAATGTGAAAAATTCTTGTATTCCTATCACCTTTTAAAGCCCAATTCATCCTAGCTTTTTGAAACCATAAGCTTTTCTGCTATGTCCCTTAGTAGAATGATCTGTTATCTGTGGACCACAGTGGGATTTGCTGAACTGATTTTGGATAATCCAGGAGAGGATTTTATTGTTGCATTGTGATGTGGGTGGAGTTTAATAGTTGCAAGGGGTGATCTTCATCATTGGTTGATTCTAAAGGAATGTGTTATGGTGTTTTCTGGCGTTTGTAGTTATGTGGTTTCTAGTGTTTGCTAGTTTTGTTTCTGTTTTGTAGGTTGGTTACTCACCAACTTGGAGCTTGGAGTTTGTGCTAGCAGATGATTTGGTGTGCATCTAGGTGCCAACCTAGTTGAGATCTTAGTGTTTCACTGTGATACTTTTTGCACTCTCCTCTTTATTGATGTATGTCACCATACTTTGTATGTTTTTCCATCAATAAAGCTTTCTTTTTGCTGATCAAAAAAAGAGTTCAACTTCGAGAGATATTTAATGCATGATCCACCCAACCTACATTACAAGAAATTACATTTTTGCTAATTAAAATTTTAATCATAAAAAGGTTGTTTTTAGTCAGTAAAAATATTTTGCGACAAAAAATTTTACTTGTTGTTTGGGATGTTCTAAATAAGTGCACTTTTTGACTTTTTATAAAATATGGGTTGGGTTTGAAGTGATGTGTTAAAGAGGTGATGTGATTTAAATAAGATGATGTGACTTAAATAGGATAGTGACTTTTTAACTTTTTGGCTTTTTTATAAGTTGCCAAACCTAACAATACATGGTCGGGAAAAGTAATCTGCAACTAAAAAAAATCATTAGTTGTCAAAAACAAGTATTTGGCAACTAAATTTTTGGTCGTTGAACATATAACCACCGCAACTAGACCATTTGATAGCTAATTAAAAGCATTAGTTGTCAAAAATATTATTTTTGTGACTAAAATTTTAGTCAGTAATAATATGAATTTGTCAACCAATACCTTTGGTCACCAAAATTAATGATGTCACTGATTATTTAATCCGGACATCATGAAAGTAATATGACAAATAACTACCCTGCCACATTTAACTTTTGTTTATATTTAGTAAATATATATCTTTATTACATTTTCTTTTAAACATTACATATAATTAATATATTTTACAGATAATAAAATATAAATATGTTTATGTAATTATAAATTTATCTTAAAATTTAAAAATAATTTAAATAAATGCATCTTAATTCTTATTTTATTATTAAATATTTTTAAAATAATCATGACGCCATTGTTTGATTCTGGTTTGAACCGGTGGCCTGTCCACCTAATTCCTTTTTTAGTTCGCTCATCAATTCATTTTTAAAACATTGGTGAGTAATGAAACACCGGCTAACAAAATTAATTGCCAAAAATATTAACTAGTTTTCTTGACCAATCACTTGGTCACCAAAAGGAAAAACCAAACTAAATTTTTTGTTACCAATTCAATTCTTTTTATTTATGAAAATAGACAAAAAAATTATTATTTTAACAACATTTAATCTATATGATATAATAATAATTTATTCAATCCATTTAATATAATTCATGTTTGAATTTGTAAAATTTTAAAAGGGTTTGAACTTTTTCCCCTTACTGCAGGTTTTGGTCGCCACATAATACAATAGGTATGTTAACCATCAAAATGACTTTGGTTTGATATTTACGACCAAAATTCATTAGTCGATAAAAGTTTTTTGGCTCCCGCTTTTTTTTTCACCTTTCGGCTTCTAGTTTTTGTGACCAATAATTCAAATTAGTCGCAGACATACCATTTCTATGACTAAATCACATTAGTCATGAAAAATAAAAACTTTTGGCTATTATTTTGTTTTTTGGTCGGCAAATATGTGCTTTTCACGACTAAATAATATTTA